GAAAGAAGGAAGGTGATTTTTCATGCTCAGTGAATTGACTGAAATTTATTAAAAATAATGAGCCATATTTTAACTTTAAGTGTTTCTAGAAATAAAGTCAACTTGGTATAATGAAAGTAATATTGAATATAGAATCAGATCTGGTTTCAAATCTTAGATTCAAGAATTTTGATCAGTTAACATATTTACTGAGCATTAATTTTCTTACAGGTAAAATATGGATATGATTTATTTGTTAATTAACTTGTGTTTACAAGAAAGGAATAATAGTATGAACCTGAAAAAACACTGTATAATAAAAAGCAGTATATAAATAGTAATCAAACATTATAATCAGACATAGTGCTTCTGCTGATCCTGCTACTGGAAATAGTTTCTTCCTGTGCAGGGTTCTTTTCTGTGAAAATAATCACCCCCTTCCACAACACCTCATCCTGCAGTGCCTCTTCCCACCTCAGAGACTGACTTCAAGGGCAATGATCAGATCATTTCATCCTGGCATCTCCCCAGCTGACACACTGTAAATAGTAGGCACTTAATAAATGTTGAAATAATAAGCCAAATAAGTTAAAAAGTAACAGTACTGCAAACCAAAGGAAAAGTTTTAAAAATTCCCTATTATATAGGGAGAATGAGGCATCTGTGTTGAGTTTCTATTTTACACTTGTGTTGAGCCACAGAAGAAAGGATAGGGAATGAAAGTCATTCAACCAACAACTCAATTATTGGACACTCACTAGGTGTCAGGCATAGGATATGAGGATAAAAGGCTGGTCTGGAATGTGAGCACCAGGTCACATCAGCTTATGAGAAACAATATGAAAGCTCCAACAGTGTAGATTTCTTCCTCCTGCATTAATTATTGATGTATTTCTTAATCTTATTCCAGAGAGAGAGAGAGAAAGTGAGAGAGCGAAATTGATAGTGATGTGTTGGTTGACTCCAGCTTCTGCATAGTAGCGGTCACTCCAATGGAGAGTATTACATGAACCCCTGCAAACTTACTGGGTACAGGAAGAAATACTTGAACTATTAATATTTATCACATTGATCTTCATCTTTCCATTTTTGTGTATGTTTTAAAATGTACACAATATATTAGCATAGTTATATATATATCAACTTAAAGTAGAGAAATATACATATATTAAAGGCAATTCTTTGTGGATAGGGCATTTTATTAAAAGAATTTTAAGACCACCACTCCAAAGTAGACACCAATATATGATAACCATGAGCAAGTTCTAAAAACAGGTGGTTAAACTGTATATAAACAAGAAAACGACAACAATATAGTGGAAGGCTTACATAAAATGTCATCGCAATTGCATTGCATTGTAATTTTATTAAATTGGGAAAAATTAGAAAGAAACCCAAGAAATAATTATCCATGTTTTCCCCCCTGTTGTTTCAGAAGTGACTCCAACTGCAGGGGACACAGTTTGAAGGATGAACTACTTGCAAATGCCTGCCAGCCCACTGCTGGAAATTGCTGAATGATGCTGTACCAGCTTCAGAGAATGGGCCTTACCACCGAAGCCCCCTCAGAGGGCCAGTGGAGCGCAGCAGAGCGGGCTCGGATGTGACTAGGCAAAGGGAGGGCTGTGGTGCTTAACCTGGATGCACATTAGAACCCTTTGGAAAACTTAACAAAAATTAAAAAAAAAATGAAGTGTGGCTCCTACTCCAGAGATTCTAATTTGGTTATTCAGGGTTGACTGAAGCCTAGGAATCCAGAGTTCAAAAACTTAGCACAGTTTTCAAATGTGCAACCAGGATTGAAAATCAGAGCATTGAGTAAACTGGTGAAAGAAATGTGGTTTTAGAACATGGATGAAAACACATGAATGTAGAGTAGTAAAGGTAAGAGGAGGTGGGAAAATGACAGAGGAAAAGCATGAATAAATATTTTGGGGGTAAAGCAAGATAATTGGTCTTTTGAGGTAGCTTCCATGATTATTTTTTTCTCTATTTTCTCCCTCATGATACTTTTTCTTTCAGAATATTATAAAATGAATCATTTTCTTTCATTTTTAAATTCAGCTTGACAGTTACCTTGGAAGTAATAATTATGTTTTCCTTACGTAAGAGAGGAGAGGCCTATTATTATTGAAGGTTCATTTTTTTTAAAGCTATTCTTTATTTTAACACTCAAAACAGTTAAGGATTATGTCACAGCTATTTTTGAAATCATTGTATCTATAATGAATGTCAAGAAAATGGTAAAAAAACAAAACAAAAAAAAACCCCAGCATGCCGCCTGGAAAGTTTTCACAGAATTATTTAGATTTCAAGTTCTTATAAAAATTTGAAAATAAAGCTAGAAATTTAAACAGAACCCTAAGAAATCAGCACACAGCTTCTAGAATGGGATTACAACAGCAGCAGTTGAAGAAATGCCAGAAGAGTTGTCTACAACCAAACTCTTATAGAAGAATGATGAGTCCTGGGTCACATCAGTAACTATCGATGGCAGTCATTACTGTATTTTATTTTTTATTTTATTTTTAAATTATTTTTTTAATCCTCACCTGAGGTTAACTTTTCCATTGCTTTTCAGAGAGAGTGGAAGAGTGAGAGAGAGAAATCAATTGGTTGCCTCCCACACACACCCTGACTGGGGTGGGGATCGAGCTTGCAATGGAGGTGTGTGCCCCTGGCAGGAATCGAACCCAGGACCCTGCAGTCTGCTGGCTGATGCTCTAACCACTGAGCAAAACTGGCTAGGATAGCAGTTATTACTTTAGAATGAAACTGTCCTCTTCATTTCAATTTAGCACTATGTAGAAGATGAATATCTCAGTTCATTTCATTCCTAAGTCAACAAACAATAAAGTTTATATCCTTAAAATGAATTTGTTAGGTCTTATAGCCCCCCCAAAATCTTCTGGCTCAAAAGACACAACTTCCTAAGAACGAGCTCTTACACGAAAGGTACAAAAACAACAAAGGAAACAAAAAAATTCAGAAAGTCTGAAGAATAAAAATGATAGTTCTACTATTAATCATAGTGCCTGTATTATATACTTAAAATTTGCTTAGGTTAGATCTTATGTTAAGTGTTGTTAGCACATAAACACACAAATGATAATAATAATAACAATAATATTATTAGTAGTAGTAATGATAAAGATGGGAGAAAACTTTGGGAGATGATGGATATATTTATGCCTTAATGGTGGTGATGGTTTCACGGGTGCAACTTCGACTAAAATACTTAATACTACATTTTTGCCCATACATTTTCTCCTGCCAGAGCTGCTTTCTGAGTACTGGCTAGTGCGTGGGAAATTGCAGGTGCTCAATATATTACTTGTTAAATAAAGGAATTAATAAATGACTGAGTGATAACTAAAGGAAGGAAAGAACTGGCTGACAAATTCTAGGAAACAAATGTAAAGACTATGCTTAGTGGTTACAAGCCAGATTGCCTGGATTTGAAACCCAGTTTTGCTGTTAACTATATGACCATGCCAAGCTAGTCTGTCTCTCTATATCTGTTTCCTTTTGTTTATATAAAATAGGCCATTGTGAGAAATATATGTTACATTATAGGAAAGTACTTTTAAAAGTATATGGAAAAGAGTTAAAGGCAAAATATCAAGTATGTTATAAAGGTCTTGTCTAAATAATTCAATAAAAAAGTCATTGACAACTATGAAATTAGAGTGAAACTAAAGAAAAGCTGTCTAGAAGAGGGAAGTGGGCACAATGAACTTTGAGGTTCAGCCCACAAAACTTGCAAGTGTCCTAGAAATTACTATTCTGCAAAGACTGTATAGGTGGATCCTTCCCAAACACCTCTCATGAAAGTGTTGGAGGTAATGGATCCTTGCAGACATACAGAGGCTCTATTTTCTAAGGGTAGATATAGACTAAATATATTTATCTTACTTGAGAGCTATCTTCTATTAACTTTCAGTATTGGTTATTATCCTATAGATTTGATATAAAAGAGTAAATGGAGATGAAGCAGTTTTATTAAATTAAACCCCAAATGTTTTACTGCTTATAACTGTCTTATGTTACCTTGGTTTAGCATATAACCCATGGCTTAGAGAGGGTGGCCATGTGTTGGCATCAATCATTTCCAGGGCTCCTGAAGCATGTGGGCAGCTGGCAAATGTAATAGCTGTAACACTGTCTGAGGAAAGAGGAGGAAGGGGTCTATTTACACATGCGGACTCAGTTCATGAATTCTTGGAAGTCAGGGACAGCATCCACACTGACTGAACAAAGGACCACAGAGGGACATAGAAATGTACACATCAATAAACCAGAGAGTATTGTTCCCTTTGCTATGCAAAGCCCGCCTCTCTAGCAGTCTGGCGTTAGCAGCCTCTCTGGTTAATAGGATATGGATTACCTTGGAAAAACAACATATAATCTCTGCACCTTGTGTATCTATAAGCACCGGTGAAAATTTAGATGTCTGTTTTTAAAATCTCGACAAATCAGATACAATTGTATGTGTACTTGGGTGATCTCTTAGCACAAAATCTGCTCTCCCTTCTTTTCTATTTCTGCCCATAGTCATTGCTATGGTGTGAATTGTGTCCCCGCCCCACAAATTCATATGTTGAAGTTTTGACTGCTAATATCACTGTATTTGGAGATAGGGTATTTAGGAGGTAATTAAAGTTATTAATTAAATGAGTTAAGGGTAGAGCTCTAATCCAGTGGGACTGGTGGCCTTGGAAGAAGAGAAAGAGACAGAGAGAGATCTCTCAGCACAAGCACAGAGGAAAGGCCATGTGAGGACACACAGAGAAGAGAGATAGATGTCTGCAAGCCAGGAAGAGAGACCTCACCAGAAACCGAATGGGCCAAAACCTTGATCCACAACTTCCCAGCTTCAAGAACTATGAGAAAATATTTCTGTTGTTTAAGCCACTTAGTCTAGGGTATTTTGTTATGACAGCCTGAACCAACTAAGATTCATACATTGAGAAACAAGAGCTTTATAAATACACACATAGCTTTGCTTGAGTCACACTCACCATTAATAGTCTGTCTCCTACTTGCAACCTCCCATCCTTTTGTGCAGCTCCTCCGTCTATGATTTTAGTTACATAAATGCTGTTGTCTCCAGGAATGTGCTGGTTTCCCACACCTCCTGCAATACTGAAGCCTAAACCTGTGGGGAAGAAACAGAAAAATAAGTCTTTTTTAAATTTTTTTTAAGAACATGCAATTAGCACATTTCAACAGTCTAAAAATTTTCATCCTCAATTATTATAACAGTGATAAATAACAGTAAGGGTTCTACTTTGGTTGATTTGTTCTATAACAATCTGAAGGCTTGTTAATTAATGCCTATGAGGCAAAGCTCTTGAAGTCAATCCCATGTGTCCATTAGTTTTGTTCTACTTCATGACTGTAGCCTTAATTGCTGTTCCCTAGCTAATCAGCTCCTAATGGGTGACTGGCCAAAATAGGGATCAGGCAAAAGTGTGAAAGGATCCTTGGTGATCCAGGCAAAACACAAGTACAGTTTTGCTCACTTTGAGTTTATGGCTCATCTTCTTTGTTGTTGTTTCTCTAGCAGAGAGAACAGAAGCGTTGCCAATTGTTTGGATAGAGACCTAGATACTCTTGACATTTCAAGATGAAAAGTACAACTGTTAGAAAATTCCCCAAATTTTGAGACAAGAGCCACAAAGAAGATACACTGGGTATTTAAGTAATAATTTCAGAGACGATAAAGAAAAGAAGCTAGATGCTTGCATTTCCAGTTTTTTTCGCTGGCCACTTGTCACATTTTCACACTTCTTGGTACTTACTGTTACTAACTAATAGTCTAGTCACACAAACAAAATAAATTATCTCCATATACGTTCTTAAGAATAAAGAAACAGATAATATTCTTTGACTATTACTTTTATAACATACTATAGGATATCAAATAATTTTAAACATGGCAATTTTCTATTTTGAGAGATAAATTTTACTGTCCTATGGCTTACAAAACTTTTATTTATATAAAGATATGGAATGATAACAGGAATAGCTATTAAAATCATTATGAGGCCATTTTAGAAAAATGAGTTACAGAATCTTTAGAAGTATAAAAAATTCTTTTCAGAATATGATTAAACGTGCATTCAATATAATACTTGTACCATATATTTTTATTGCATTTTAAAATTATAATGACAATTAACAGTCAAATTACTCAGAAAGATAGATATAAATAAAGTGCTTTTGTTAGTAAAAACAAAACAAAAATTCTGTAACTTACTTGGCATAAGACATTTTTTTTTTTAACAACACATACCTAGTAACCTAATTAAAAAACTCAAACACAAACATTTTTGGCACTTTATATGAAAATAATGAAAAACACTTTAAAAATACTCCATTTTACTATGCTTATATTGAATAAATATTGAGTAGAACTATATGCTCTTAAGATGGCACAAATGATTAGTTAATGGAGGAATAGTGGCATGGTAAATTATAAAGTAACACCTTTGAAGTCATATTTGAAATAAAATTATTTTTTTGTTATATGAACTATAATAGTTGTCAAAAATAAATAGAAAATGGATTTAAGCTGATAGGGCAATTAAAATTAGTGTTATCTAATTTCCTACTGAAGTGGGTAATTCTTCTTTATTCATGCTTTGACGTCCACAGATCTATAAATGTATTTGTTTGCCTCAGATTAAAAAAATCTGTTTATCAAGCAAATGTTCCAGAATAAATAAAATGCACCCAATTGGCTTTTCCTATGAAATTTAAAAGACAGATCAGCTCATGTTTTCTAACCCTATTACTTTGTATTTATATATGATTATAAGGATATCTAAAAATATATTTACAAAAGTTTCATAGCCACATGATAGGATCAATCCACTGCACTTGTAGCAGTACAGAAGTCATCCCATGCTGTAGAAAGAAAAAGTTCAAACAAATCCAGGGACTCGGATTTACATCCACCATGTCAACAGTAAATGCCACAGACAATCTGGGTTACAGAAGAGCAAAGGAAACAAATCACTACCATAAACAAGATGAAGTCCAACAAAGGGAATAACTATGTAGTTGACAACAGAAGTTAAAGATTGTACCAAGACAATGAAATCACTATAGATACTGTAGACAAAATTATATCACTAAAAAGTAAATAACATTTTTTCTGAAATTAGTTTAAATACTTGTTTTTAACTGATGACTCTGCTCAAGGTAAAACAAAAAATTTATAAAGAGCCAGAGAATGTCTCTGAAGTCACAAAACTAAGAAACTTTCCTGTTTTCTCTTACTTTGATGGAAAATGAATACATTTTAAAAGAATCAACATTTAATCAACACAATCATATTCCAGATATTTAATTCAACATAATTAAATGTGCAGCTTACTTTTACATCCAGGATACAACTTTGTTTATAGGTAGAATATCCATCTGTATTATAAGATTTAATCTGTCTCCATTCATTCATTAATTCATTAATTTACTAACTCACTCATATATCTATTTATTCAACAACACCCCCTGAATACATGCTATGCATTGTTGTTATTTACAGCCAACATAATGTAAAAGAAAGGACTGACCAGGAACACTATGGAAATAATGATCCACGAGTGGGTTCGTATGAGTGAAGGTGGTTGAACCTGGCTGAAGCAATGTTCTAAACTCAGAGGATGCCAGTGCTTTTTGCAGGACTACTCCGTGAAGGCAATGTGGGCTAGGACTACTGAGCATAGGACCAAATCCAAGTGATCAGCTTGGAGGCACTGGACGTTCCTTGCGTCCACGCTGGCAAAGCAGGAGCAGGCTGCCTACAATATAGGAACACTCTCTCCCCTTATTATCTAATATGCCCCTCCTTCGTTCCACTCTGGACACACTCGCAGACTTGATAATTCTAGAACACACCAGACACACTTCCAACTTAGGGCACTTGCTCTAGCTGTTCCCTTTGCCTGGAATACACTTTCTTCAGAGCTTTGTACAAATATCAACTTCCCCAGGAGCCTGAACTTGACCTACTTATTTAACACTGTCCCTTAATCATGCACCCCACTTCCTTATTCTGCTCTACTTTTCATTTTTCCTTAGCATTTATTACCTTGCAACATACTACATAAGCCATGTATGTAGTTTATTTTATTTTTTGTCTGTCTCCTTGGTGAAAATATACACTTCATGATGACAGGGATTTTTGTCTGTTTTATGCTATACAATAGAACAAGGCCACTTATATATGGTAGTACCCCTTATCTGTGGTTTTGCTTTTCATGGTCTAATTACCCATGGTCAACCACTATCTGAAATATCACATTAAAAGTTCCAGAAGTAAACAATTCATAAGTTTTATATTATATGCCATTCATTTATATGCCAGCCTTAAAAATAAAGCTGGTGGGCCAGATAGCTCAGTTGGTTGGAGCATCATCACACACACCAAAAGGCTGCAGGGTCGATTCCCAGTCAGGGCACATGCCTAGGTTCCGGGTTCTAACCCCAGCTGGGGCGCATACAGGAGGGAGCTAATAGATATTTCTTTCTCACATAAATGTTTGTTTTTTTCCCCCCTTCCTCTCCCTTTATTTCTCTCTAAAATCAATAAACATATCTTTGGGTGAAGATTAAAAAAAAATGAAGCTGGTGCCTTTCATGAGTGAAGGACAACTGAAAAATCGAGGGCCATTAGTTGCAGTCAATAACTGTGAAGGTGTTGCCCCGCTTCAGGTGAACCTGGAATGGGCAATAGCACAGCCAGCTTTGCATCTGATTCTTTTACCTCCTCACTGTGTAAAACTCGTGATCTGTAATAAGGGAATATGTATATCTGTGTCCTATAGTAACTGGCATATAATAGATGCTTGATAAATAAAAGTTCTCCTGTCTCCAGAAGCTCTCAGGTTGTTTTGAAAAACAGACATCTAAACACATTGACATGGTTTAACTGCTTAGGATGAGTTCTCTCATGGTACTAGAGTTATGTGAATCCAGGGGGCGTATGATTTTCTCAGAGGGGCAGGAAAAGAACCAACAAGAGTTTAACATTTCAGCTGTGTCTTGAAGGCTAAGGTAGAATTAATAAAAGAAAATGCACCTTTCAAACCAACACATCCCCTGGATTGCAGACTGACCAGATGACGACAGTCAGCTGCCCTGACGTAGGTCACATGATGCTCATAACATCCCAGCCCCACTGGGCTGCAGACTGAGACAGAGATGTCTGACAAACCCTCAAAATACGTATTTATGATGAGATAAGCTGGGTGGTTCCCTAACAGGATAAATACAGTAAAACTCATCAAGATGTGAGTAAGAAACATTGAAAAATAGCAAAAACACTGATTTTGGGGAAGAGGCTAATTTAGAGAATTGGTCATTACTTTGAAAGAAGTATCCATGATTAAGAAATAGCCCTGGATCATTAGGTGATGGTAGAATAATCAATTATAAAATTAACTCCATGAAAAGAGTTGGTAGGTCTCACCCAAAACACTGACCCTAACACTATCTACTGTGAAATGCTTGGCTGTTGAGAATTATACAAAATATGCCTATGGTGTGTGCTAGTAATAAACAAAGCGGACAATGAAAAATATAAGTAAAATCATGGAAGAAAAATCTGAACATTTCAGTACTTTAGCAAGGGAAAAAAAGCATGTGAAATTTAAACACCTAATTCCCCAAGCAATTAAAAAGTGATCTGTTTGACAAACATGTGATGTGCACACAGAATTTCAGGTTTACTTTCATGCCTAAAGCTGGCTTCCCCTTTCTGTATTTCTTGCGTATCCCCAAATTGCAATCCCTTGCATTAACACGGGAGGTGTAGGCATAGGGAACGTCTGAGTCTCTTTAAAATCTCTAATTTAACCTCTTTCCACACAAAATCTCTTCCGCACCCTATAAAGAACATGAGGAACGCAGTCCCCCCTTTCCCCTTGCTGCCTGCCCACGCCGAGGAGGAGGTGTCAGTGAGAGGCGGGGAGGGAAGCAGAAGTCTTGGCAACACAGACTGATACTGTGCTCGAGAAGCTCAGAATAAAAACCCAAATGCTTAAAAGAGTCATATGATTACAGTGTACCCACATATTCATTGTGGGTGTAGAGAACTGAGCCCCATGATGTCTTGTAGTCAGTCATTCAGTAACTTGGCTCAACTTCCTT